GGGGGAGGGGGGAAACAGAAGGACAGTTGACGCAGCAGGTACGCCGACCCGGGAGGGGGAGCCGGTGGGGGGGCTCTCCCGAAAAGGATACCGGCCGCAGGCACTGGTTCCCGAGACGACCCCTTTGCCGCCCCCCACCCTCCAAGATAAGGCCAGCACCTTTCGCTGTTGTTGACGATGACGCCGCCCTCCTCCGAATGGTTCCTGTTCAGCGCCATGGCCCCGAAGGAACGGCCGAGCCTCTTTTTTTTCTCTCTCTCTTCACCACCAGCAGAGGCAGAGAGACGCAGGCGACCCAATGAAGCGGCGGAGCGGCCCGACGCAAGCAACGCCGGAGGACTTCCGGGGTAGCCGGGTTCTCTCTCTAGGCAACGCAGGGAACCGGAAGAAACCGAGGCATGACGGGAAGCGTAGTTCGAGCCCCCCCTCTGGGCGTGTGTGGACGTGGGGTGTGTCCTGTGAAGCCTTTTCTGTCTTGAGTGTTAACAGTTGTAGGAAGTTTCGAGGGCGAGCTCAGGCAGAGCATCTTTTGGCCCCCAAAAACGCCAGCAGTAGAGCAGTGCAGGGTCTGTGCTCTGGCTCTCGAGTATCTAGGATTCTGGGAGTTGTAGTCCAAAAGCTGGAACACGCGCAGCTTGGTGGACGTATTTTGTTCCGAACCAAATGTTTTGGTCTGTAGTTCCCTTCATGAGTGCCCTCGATCTGGCGGGTTATATACGTACACTGCGCCAGAGCTTGGACATAACTACTTAGTTCATTTATTTCCCCCCATAACTGTGGTATAACGACATTACACTGTCGCTTAATCCAAATAAATGAATGGGAAACCTTGACATCTGAGCGTTCAGCCTGGAGGCAGGTGGTGCAGCACGGCTTCTCCCAATTTGAAGTGACCCTTGTCCAGCAGGCCTAGGCAAAGAGGCAATCCCGAAACAAGCAAAACCAGGGAGCTGGACAGGGGACAGACTATATTTGTCTTCAGTGTGGAAGGGATTGTCACTCTCAAATTGGCCTTCTCAGCCACACTAGAGGCTGTCCCAAGTCCTCCATACAGAGCATGTTACCATAGTCTCTCGAGACTAAAGGATGCCTAATCTAATCTAAATCCAAATAGCTTCATTCACTAAATGCTGACTCATGGGTGCCTCCTATTGAAAGAAAAATGGGAACATTAAAAGTTAATTTAAGGAAATGGGGAAGCAAATAGTTACTTTTAAAATTGTAAATATAACCCCAATGAACTCCTGAGACTGCTTAGAACTGTAACTGAAAATAAATACATTGTAAATGTACTTTTCCAAGCTCTTTTCAAAAGGTAACTTCAAAGCTCTAAAAGTCTGGAACAGTGGAGCTAGATAACCATTAAATTTAAAAATTGTGGTTTGCAACAACAACAAAAACAGACCACAGTATGGTGTGTAGGGGATAGAGAAATGGACTGGACCTCAGGAGACCTGGGTTTGATTCCATGGCTCTTGCCATGGGATGAAACCATACCTCACTTACCTTGAAAACCCTATTAGGGTTGTTGCAAGTCAGCTCCGACTTGACAGCACATAATGAAAACAACATATATGTTTAAATTTTAAATATGCACTAATTAAGCACAATAAATTCCGGTCCACAAAGCCTATGCTGCAGTAAAATTTAAATGCCATGAAACTAGTCTCCCGTGTTTTCCAGTGTTAGATAATTTTAGACTATGAACCTCATTATTTTATGGGCCCCACTTTAGACTGTAATGGCTGGAACCCAACTAGCCATTTACACTTATGTAAGTGAAATGGTATGAAGCATGGCGGCAAATTGCCATGACTTAAATGAAGTACTGTTTGCCTTCCTGGATGCATGCCCAGGGCTGAAATCAGCACTTCCATTAATTAGCAGCAATTTGCTTCTGCAACTTACACAAACGTAAATCACTAGTTAAATTCTGGCCTTGGTGAGTTACCTTGATGACGACGACGACGACGACATGATGATGATGATGACGACGACGACGACTTATAGTGACCCTTTGCAGGATTTTCCATGTAGAGAATTACTCAGAAGTGCTTTTCGATTCCCTCCTGCTGGGGGCACTATGGACTGTGCAGCTTACCACACAGGCTGCTTTGCCTGTAGGAGGCACAGTGGGGAAATCAAACATTGAACCTCTGGCTCTGCAGCCAGATATTTAAACCACTGAGCTATCCTTTACTTGCTTTAAAATAGGCACCTGCCTTACACACAATGGGGTATGTTGTGTAGTGTTACCTCTCCCCGCCAGAATATCACTCTGCGCTATCACCTATCCATAGAACTCCTTCAAGTTAGGTAAGATCGTGGGCCAGTTCAGGCTTTGCCCATTCACATGTAAAAACCTGACGTGTGTGTATATATCCATGGAGCTCCTTTTGGCTTCCTCTGGATGTGGGAGAGGGGCATGGCTGTCAGGCAGTATCTGTAGGGCTAATTCACAGATTTGCCCCAACCCTGCCATGAGCTGACTCTAATGACTAGCTTGAAAAGAAACAGGTAGAAGGCCTTGTGATTTTGAATCGATTTTTTTTCAGCTAACAGTACTTTTTCTACCATACAAAGCCGTCAAATAATGGTGGATTTCACATAATGTTTTATAAACTGCTTTGAGTGCCCACTAGGGGAGAAATGCAGGATAAAAAATTAATTAATTTCAGTATATTTTAATGTCCAGTGACTTTAACTCATTAAAGAGTGCAACAAGATATATGTGACTTAAGACTCAATTGTTACTAACCCTGATTAGATCAATGGGTTTAAATTGTTACTAATTTTAGGCTTATCTTCTATCACTTTGGAGTAAAATTAGTCCATAACCTGATTTTATCTAGTGTTCTGGTAGTGATCTTTGTATTGCAGTATACTTACCTCCTGCTTTATTTGCATTGGAGTGTGCAAAATAAAATGCATTTAATTAGCCAAATGCTCTTTAAACAGGAAGCAGCAGTCCTTTACATCTTTTGCTGGGGTAACTTGATTTTTGGTATTTTGCTGTACCAAAGAGCTGCAATTCAGAAGCTGGCACTTGGACATAAATTTTAAAATATCTTGCCACTTCTGTAGTTTCATATGCTATTTTTATTACATCTCTAAATTTGTTGTGGTTTTGTGCCATGGTTTTTATGAAGAAGTTTTCTAGTTGGCTCAGTTGTAGATGAAACACTCATTTTTCCAGGGCTTTCATCCAAATTAAAATGCTGTAAGCAAGAACTGTATGTACGACCACAAATGATTTGCCACTTGCAGTTGTGGTAGAAAGTTGGCAGGTCTTCCTGCAACTAAATGGAAACACAAATCATTTTTAAATTTTAGCCAATTTGTCAGAAAGGAAATTAATGATAAATTTGAACCTGCAGGTTTATAGCCTGCCTTAATCTGCAGTCTTAAAATAGTCACATTATTGTATTTATGCATGGACATGTTCATGTTCTAACCTTCATATTAACAATGTGACCAAAGAGCCAGAAAGGGCTTGAAGAAAAACTTAATCCTAAGAAGGTGAGACAGCAAGACCTGACAAGCATCATTTGGTCTTCACCTGTGCAGAACTTCATCCATCAATGACCATTCCATCTGACACCAGTGAAAAGGGAATGGAGATGGTCCCCACCTTTGGCTTGGTTGGGATTCCCAGTCCTTCTCATCTTTCCATAACTGCCTCTTGCATGCTGATTTTGCCTGGGACATTGACCAACGTTGTTCTTGTTATGTGCCATTAAGTCAGAACTGATGTATAGCAACCGTAATAGGGCTTTCAACATAGAAGTGGTTTTTATTTGTTCCATAGCCCCAGTGAGTTTCCTTGGCTGAGTGGGAATTTAAACCCTAGCCCTGTTGAGTCCTAGTCTGTTGTTCTATCCATTTCACCACACTGGGTATCCCTGACCAACTTCTTATGCCACAATATGAGTCCTGATATCCAGAATTTTTTTTCTTAAATTTTCTTCTGTCTCTTTCATTATAAGCCATTGTTTTAAAGCTCATTTAAGCACATTCGGGGTAGTAACTAAACAGATATTGATACATATCATCCTGCTTTAGTATACATTGTGCAGTCCAAGTCAGCCTAGTCTAACTTCTCCAACACATTTTTTACAAAGTCCCCATACTGAACTCTGCAGCCATCTAGAAGACAAAGTCACTCCCGTTACTGTTGGACCTTCATTACAAAAATCAGACATACACCCCACCCAATGCTCCATAACTTATGAGAGAACTGGATACTCTGGGACCAACCATTTAAAGTGTGCTGCTTTAAGATATTAAGCCCAATGTGGTGCCAAGACTTGGGGTAGAAGCCCAAGTCCTAGTTAGCAGGATGAACTGCAGGTTTATTGCATTTTAAAATCTCTTCCTCTTTCTCTCTGTCTCAAACATTTAGGTGTCAAGATTTCAAATGTGTATGTATAGAGTGGTAAGATAATAAAAGGGGGTATAAAGTAGCCTTGAAAATAAAAGTGCTTTCAAAATCAAGACTTGAATAAGAGTACACTATAGTCATTTGGAAACAATTAGCTGGCTCTCCAGCTAGGAAGGTCACTGAACAATATTCCTGATAGCTGAATGTGTTTGTTATAATGAACATGTTTACGTTACAGTGTGTAAACCTGAAGTTGTATTTGTAAATACAGCTATAGAATATCCTTTTAGTGATTATATTTTTAGTTCACAGTACTCTAGTGTTTCACGATTTTAGAGTTAGAGTATCCGAGTGAATAAAACGCTTAATGATACAGAGCATTATTTAAGCTCTGCAAAAATTTTAGTCATGACAATGTTATCAGCATTGTGGCAGCTTATTAGATATTACAGATCCTTGAAATTTCAAAGGCTGCAGAAACTATTGGGTGTACTATTGAAAAATCATTCTTGGAATACGAAGATTTTGATCTCCAGACCCCTTGAAACAAGATTATTTACAGATTGGAGGGAGGTGTGAACAACTGAATTAATTATAAATATAGGAAGACAAACACACACACAGGCATTCAACTCGTCAACATAGCAAGGTTTCATGCTACACCACACATAAGATACCAACAAAAATCATGTTAGCAGCACAGCAGCAGACAAACCACATAGATTTTCTTCCCTAGACAGAAATTAGCCTGCATCTAGTAATATGTTTAAGACTAAGAAATGTTTTTTATTCTATATATTTTTACTTTTAAGAACTTCATTATTTTAAGAGATGAATTCTATGTCTTTTGTTTCTAATGTGCCTTATTAGGCTATAAGCACTTGCATTTTAAGAATGTACAGTAACTTAAAACATTCTTCTGATCTTTTATTGCACTTGTGCTCCTGTATTTTCGATTGAATGCTGATTTAAGTATTTGCCTGCAACTTAAGTTTAGTTTTCATACATTTTAAGCATTTGTGCCTATAGTTTTCTTCATAGTTGTAAGACTTTTGAATTTTTAAAACAGCTCTTAACTGTTTTGTGTTTATGGAACATAGAAGCAATTTAGATGAATAAAGCTTGTAGTTAGACAAGCTGATGTTGCCTGGGATTATTGAAACCTTGAGAATACTTTGATAGATGAATTTTGCCATGATTGTTTGATTTCATTCTGGAATTAACCCTCAATTGGCATAAAATGCTAGCTTTGACAAATACAGGCTTATTTTTCACTCTACAGCTGAATGATTTCCAAACTTGAGTAACCCAGGTGTTCTTGGACTGCAACTCCCAGAAACCCCACGCAGCACAGCTAGTGGGTGAAGACTTCTGGGAATTGCAGTCCAAGAACACCTTAGTTAGCCGAGTTTGGGAACCACTACCAGATACAGTATCTATAATATTCTGTAGGTCTCTTAGGGGTATGTCCAGGCATCCAACTCCCTGACCTGATGCACACTATCATTAACTGGAGGTTAGCAATCTGCAATTTTAGTTCAAAAATCTTATTGTGCTCTTCAGGAAGTGTATGGGGTGATTTGCCATCCTTTGAGAAGCACTCAGCACTCCTTTTCAATCACATTTTTAAAAAAATGGCCCCTAAGTGATGTAAGAAGGCTTTTCAATTAAAAAAGTTTTGTATGACAAAATGTGGAAGAGGAGGTTGTACAAATGTTGCCCATTCTTGATCTATCTCATCCTCCTAAATCCCAAGATTAAGTCTCAAATATAAAAATATCTATAGTACTGAAATCTAAACAGGTCACAAAATAGTGTTTCCCACCAGTAAGGACATTACTCTGTAGTGTGACAGGTAGGAAAAAAAACAGACACACAGAGGCTATTTAACTGCCCAGTACAATATAAACGGGATGTTCTCAGTAATGGTGCTTCAGAATGCCACCCTTTTGGACAGACTCTCTGTCTTCCTTTGTTAGACCCTGCCTTTTTTTTCCAAATTTAATGCTTACTATTTTTCCATTGTAACTGAGTCTCTTCAGCTCCCCCTTTGTTGTTTTTTTAAAATGAGGTTTTAAACATTAATCTATTCTGGTTCAGGTTTTTGTTTAAAATGCAGAAAAATAGATTATAAATAATATAAAGTGCACAACATGTTCATTCTGCAAAATATTGTTAAGCAATTCATATTTTTAGGGAGGCTGCTGTAGAGGGACAGCACATTACCTCCTTACGGCTCACTGTCAAAGCATGCTGTGCCAGCACCCAAGTTCTTTGACTTTAGGTGAAACCAACCACTAAATTACCTCGCTTCCAGCTCTATGTGATGCTCTGCTACCCCAGGATTAAAAGACAGAAGCCAATCAAAAGAGAAACAGGATGTAAGGATTTTTCATTCAAAACATAATTGAGCAGAAATAGTATTCACGGGCTGGAGAACATGTAATCCTCCAGCACAGCCAACGGTGAGAACCAGTAGTTTAACATTTTTTGCACAAGGAGGGCTAAGCATTCCCTACAACTTTATTCACCGTCATGCCTTACAGAAGTCAGAGTCTAATCAGAGCAATTCAAATTAAATTTGTACTGAGCTTCACATTAATGACTATTCCATAGTATCAAATAGTGTTTGCCCATATTTTGTAACAGAACTGAAAAAAATCCCAAGAATTGTTGAAAAAGAGACCTATATTATTTCAACCAGATAAAAATCCTCCTCCTCCATGAAACAAGTGTAACACTTTTTAAAATACATACATTTTAAAATGCAAAGTCATTTTTCCTCCATGTCGTGCAAATGCTACAGGCATTTGATAAGAGAATGGTGACATGTATTTTGACAGCTGCTGTTAAACTATGAACAGAGAAAGCCGACTGGTATTTATTTAACATGGAAAACAATGAAAGAGTTGATTAGGATTGTGTTTGTATATTGTTTAATAGAGACTACATTTCCTCGCACATTTTACATTATAGAAACAACTATGTGTTTGGAGGGGAGAGGAAACCTAAAGCAGAAAGCTTTCTACTACTCCAAAAAATGTGGAAAATTACAATAGTACTGTGTTATGTAAAAAAACAACATTCTGGCTTATCTTTAAGCTTTGGAAGGAACAATGAATACAGCCAGTTGGTTCACTATTCAGCATACTGATCATTCCAGTTTATCCCCAAAGGCTTGTTGAAAAAGCACAACACTGCTAGCACAGTAGTCAGTCAATAACAATTACAGTACATCGGCATTGTTTTCATTACCAGAAGTACAAAGTAACTAAGGTGACATCACTGTTTCTTGCTGATAGCCAGAAATATCTGACTAAAAGCTCAGACAGAGGAAACCAATGAAGTCATGTAATTTATCTAATAACTAGTCTGATTCATAATAACATTTATCCTCTATGCAAATATAACATAATTTTATTTTGTACAAAAAGGAAGCCTTGGGAGGTAGGCATTGACGAAGAACCAGTGAAAACCCTTGCAGACATATCTGTAATCCTGAGACCATGGAACCAATGATGTAGAGCAGCATTCAGTGATCGTCTGCAAGGAATGCATTAAAAAATTTCTGGAATTGCAGAAATAAATTCTGTTTCCAAACCAGCTAATTTCTATTTTCCTTCCACGAGCAGTAATAAACTGGTAGTTTGTGATGTCCTAGAGACAGAATGGATCCATTTGATTCACTTTTTAAATTCAAGCACCATCTGCCATTTTAGAATAGTTTATGTCAAGTTTAGATTTGGCTCCATAATGCCCATGGAAAAGTTTGTAATTCCTCCCTGGCTAATTTCCATCCCCTTGATTACAAATCCTTTGCTGCAGCAGCTTCTCCTTCACCTTCTTGGGTGCTCTCTGCAAGACTGGCTTATATTACATGAAATACTGTTTGCAGTGTCGTTTTAGTGGGAGAAATGTTGGAAAGGGTTTATTCTGTAAATCAGTGTTTCCAAATCCCACATCCTCCAAATCTACTGGATTACAGATCCTGTCATCCCTAGCCAGCACAACTAGTGACCACTATGAGAGTTACTGCAGCACATCTGGAAAGCACTAAGTATGCCACACCAACCTATAACTATTTCTGATCTTTGCTAACTGCAGAAGGAGAAACTTCCATCACTTGCCTTAATTCAATGTCTCACTCACAGATCAGTACTCAAGAGCCACCAACCCTACGGCTTTCACCTGCCATACCCAATGACATATTGCTTTAAGAGCTCTGGGCCAGCAAGATTGGCTAAAATCCTGTAGCTGAGTATAGTAAGTTGCACTGGAGTGGGCCAATTGAATCTGTGGAGATTAGATGAGTCTGTTCCTCCACAGGTTCCACTGAGTCAAACCAGCCTACTGTTGTCTGGTTGTGACTTGCTTTAGCATAGTAAGTCACAGTTAAGAGTAGATCCATTTGCATCAACAGAATTTACTGAGGATTTGACTCACCAAATCATTGGTGATTCAATGGGCCTGCTCTATTGTGATTTACTTCACTAAATAACAGGAATTCAGCCATTCTATGGGAGGTACAACCTACAATTTTAGCAGTCTATTCTCCTGGTCTCTTCTCCATCATCTCCAAAGCTCCAGCCCAAACTGTTTACTCTCAGCGCTTTTTAACTACTACTTAGAAACATGTCAGTATGTCATTACAATGCATGTTGTTGACACTGCAACTCTGAAGTGCTCAGTTTCACTTCAAGGTTATACCTTTATAATTTAGTCTTGACATCCTCACAGTGAGATTAAGTAATACAGTTCATGCCTTCCCCCGTCTGCACCCCTGATGACACACTGCTTGCTATTGTGGCTGCAGTACAGAAAGTGTGTGTTAAAGTTGGAAAGGCACTTACCAGATAGGCACAGTGATTACTTACAAGTGCACAACTGCTCCTTGCACAGCCACATTGTTTGATCAAATTTGGTGTGGGTGGGCAAATGTATACATCTGGCAGCATAATTCCTATGCAAAAGTAGTACTTACCTAAAGAGATTTAATTTTTTTTTAAAAAAGCATAATTCCTATGCAAAAGTAGTACTTATCTAAAGAGATTTAATTTTTTTTTTTTAAAGCAGCAATCTGCAGTGTAAGGCAACCATGGCTAAGGGTTCCTATTGCTCTCAGTTGTGTGTGGATAGGCTTCTAATCTATTGCCACTGAAAAGCTGTTTATAAGATGATAGCAATAGTTTCAAACTGCTTGTAGAAGTTTGTAACTTTGTGGAATGCCATTGATGGAATGTCAGAATATCTCCCACATCCAAATGAGCAGCATTCGGTTACAGAAGCACCACAAAGTCAGTTGATCAACAAATCGAATCTCATTAAGGAAATGCCAACTGGCATTTGGCAATGAAATCAAGAAATGAATTACCTTTCGCAAGTGAAGAACACTCCCTACAATATTTTCATTACCAACAGCAACCTTTTCAATCTTTTCATATAAGGCAGGTTCCTTCAACCTGGTGCCTTCCAGATGTACATGACTGCAACTCAAATAATTCCTCAGCCAGCTAAGAGTTACACGTCACTGCATGATTGTAGAGGATGCCAGAGTATCTAGCTCTCTACCCAATCTTGTTATAAATCATTTAAACTGTCAAGACATCTCCTCGCCTTTCTCCCCAAGAAGAATAACCTGAACCCAAGTATTTCTACAATGCAGTGTGAGTTACTGCCCTTAAATTATCCTCACTACCCCTTCTGTTGATTTTTTAACAACAACAACAAAAAAATCAGACATTCACACTCCAGATCTGGTGATTCTGGATCACAAAGGAGATCTAGAAGGACTATTTTTCTCCACTCCTTCTACAGATACTAGTGAGCATACCTCGAAGGAGACACACAGTGATTCAAAACGTCAGGTGAAAGGCAAACAAGCTTAGATCTCGGCATTAGGCTGTAGATGAACAAGCCTTAAGATCAACAGCCCATGACTAAAAACTAGAGGAATATAAAGGTGACCACTGAAAATGTCCACTATTTTCAACAATACCTATGAAATTATTTAGGGAGTAACAGCAATGTGAAGGACAACGTTCACAGTCCTGATTCTTTGAGGTGCTACACAGCTCCAAGAAGAGGTCTCATTGTAACGGTTGCTGAATTCTTCCCATACACTGAGCCCATTATCGTCGCTTCAGCACTGAGACGCAGTCTTTCTTTAAAGGCCCAAGTTGCATGTGGGCATCCACACTTTCAAGGAAAAAGGCTGGTTTAAGGTTGTGGGTAAAGAGCGCTGGAAACTGGTGGTTGATCTTATTCTGGAAGGGGTCGAAGAGGCCCTTTTTGAAGCGAGCCACTTTGAACTGCTGCAGGCACGTCATCTTGGCATCCTTGACTCCGAAGAATGTCAGGGCCTTCTCAGAATACTCCAGGTAGACCCCAATGGTGTGGAAGAAGGAAGACTGCTCTATCACACAGTCAAAGCCACCGAACCAAGCAACATAGTTCTGCCCGTTCCACTGCAGGCAGCAGGACTTGTCGTTCCTGCCCAGGCGGCCCTTCTCATAGGACTCCTGTGGGTTAAAATCTTCGGTGATGACCCCGATGCTCACCCAGCCATCAATGATCTCCACTTCCCAGTAACAGTTGCCGCGGTTCATGAGGTTCTCCCCCAGCACCTGCTCGCAGTTGATGAACCGCGTTGAGCTCTCTGGGTAGGCAATGGGAGTCAGCACACGTTTGGCCCCCTTGGTGCCAAAGAGCTGGATGAACTTGTCCGCCGTGTCGCTGTCCAAGTCAATGATGAAAGCAACTGTGAAGGACCAGGAACGTTTTAAAAGAAAAAGAAAAAACAAGGAGAAGGATCAGCATAAGGGCTCTTTTTTTTCATGGATGACAAAACTGAAACATAAAGGTCCTGAGGCTAGCTTTCATCACTAGACCGGCACATAATCGTTTTAAAGAAATTTGAAATTTTACACTGCAATTATACTGAAGTGAGAATTACTTCACAGTAGTGGTGCTTCGGTTATGGAATGCTGTTCCCTGGACAGCATGACTTTTAGGGGCTAAGTAAAGTGGCTCCCCTATGTTTGGACCCCCAACCCTGAAATACCTTTCCCAGGGACCTGAAGCGAGGGGCCCCTATCCATCTGTTATTATGACAGTCATTTCAGGTGTCAGACAAAGCCTACCTGTGAGAGTCTAATTCTAATCACCTTGCAAACGTTGAGTTCCAAATTGTGGGTGGGAGACACCAGTGAGAAGAGAGCTGGGCCTCTCTGTCATGGGCCACAGAACATTCATGTCCCAAGTTAAACACATTTCAGTCCCAATAATTTCAATAAGGAAAGAGCTGAGATGCACTCTCACTTTGAAGTCATATGGGATATAAAAATGTTTGATATAGGCTGGATCAGGCCCTTGATTTTCATCCCTGTCTCACTTTGAAGTCATATGGGATATAAAAGTGTTTGATATTTAGGCTGGATCAGGCCCTTGATTTTTATCCCTGGTTCATTAACTTGCGAACTTCAAAGGATGTACAGATCTGTCATAGGCCTTGTGCTAAAAGGTGCTCCAGGGACCCAGAAAACGGGGGGCGGGGGGGCAGGGAATAAATCCAGAAAGGCGACAGATAAAATAAAATGATCTTACACTTGAGAAAATAGTCACGTGACTCCAAACAGGCAGCGTTAGTAGTTTTTTCAGGAATCTGGGGCCCCAGGGTCACTGTGGAGAGAGGAATTTCATCAATAAATATTTTACTCTTAAGACTCCAGGCAATAACACAAAAAACACCACAGAAATAAAGGGGCTCTTTACAGGGAAATAACATGATCTGATATTAGAGACAGGTGCATTACTCAAGGTAGCCACTTGGGGGCACACCTCCCTTTTAAACGTCAGATCCTGCTATCCTCAGCAGGGTTGTTCAAACAAGAGAGCTAACGAGCAACAAGGGCTGTCCTTGTCTGTGCTGCAGTTTTCTCCTTACCTGAACACCACAGAAATTAAAATAGGGAGGGGGGGGGAATGACCAATCTTTTGGTTTTACAGAGTCATTGAGCAGGGCAACTATTTCCCCAAGGTCTACAGCCCCTTGTCTTTCTCTGCTTCAGCTTTTCATTTTGTGTGTGTGCGAGTATGTGCACGTGTGCTGTGCATGCGTATCTACACTCAATTCTATTGGCGACAACCTCCTCTAAATAGATCTTGCAAGAATTGCCAGTGGTAGGAGAAAACGACAACTGAGAAGCACTTGGGGGCAATTATACTAGACTTACGGAGAATCCAGGAAACACTTCTCCCACATGTTAAGAGTGGCATGTTTTGAAGTGCAGGTGCTTCTCCCTAACGATCCCTACTGTCAAGAGGGTCCAAAAACTGGAGGCAGCTGTCTTCAGTCATGAGTATATGTATGTCTGCATGGCCTCTGCCCGCTCAACAGAGAGGGGCGGCACTTGCAACACCTAATCCAAAGGGGTTTATTTATGCCACCTTCTGCCAGCAGTGCCCCCCCTCTGTGTTCTGCATAGGACAAACAGGGCAATTTCTGCATAAAAGGATAAATGGATGCAAATCTGACAATGCAGAGAAAGAAATTTCAGAACACTTCAACCTCCCAGGACACACTGTTATGGATCTACAAGTGGCTACGGTTGAAAAAAGGAATTGCAAAAGCAAACATGAGAAGGACACAGCAGAAATGGGCTACACAAAACAAATTCCAGTGAATCCCTAAGGGATTTGATAGAAATCAAGGTGTTTTAGCTATATATTGATTACCCAGCTTTCTCTAATCTCTCATGAGTGAAACAGTTGCCTGACAGCCCCAGACTCTGACTTCCTTTCTCAGAAACACCTCTTAGCATTCCTATGGCAGCCAAATCCACAGGACTTACAAATGTTACCCTGGCTAGGACTGCTAGCAAAAGTAATTAACAGCTTGACAGTCCTGTTGCTGTGTTAATGAGAGTTCTGGCTGCTCTCTGTATTGCCCCCTGGTCATGGGGATATGTCTATAGAGGACATGCATTTATACGCTACTCTCATATGTCTGAGGAAGTGAATCTGATCCACGAAAACCCGCTGTGAAATTAACTGTTAGTCTTCAAAACACTACTATAGTCTGCCTTTTTTTTGCTTTGTCAACATCACAACCCTTGTGTTGACGAGAATATCTACTTCCTCTGCCCTAACCAGTGTGGGGTATACAACTAAATTCAGAAGGAAAAGAGGAGGTTGGAGAGGAGAGTTGCAAATGATGTATTTTTCTGTGCTAATTAAAAAATATATTTTCATTTCAAAACTGTTCTACCGCAACTTGGCTTCCCTCCTGCTCCCGGCAAGGCGATAGGTGGCCCAAAGGGACCTGGGGCACAGACCTAGAACCTTACCAATATGGGAGATGTGGTAGAAAGCAGAAAGATGTGAAACCTCTTTTTGAGCAAACCATCACTCACACTAGACGATTTCTTTGTGTACATGATGAGAATAATACCTGGAACAAGAAGCTCTTAATTGCAAAGAATTGCCATACTAGCCAAAGGGAATGGGGGACATTTTCCATTTAATGTTTTGTGCAGCTGCACAGAGCAAACACAACTGGAAATGTTAATGCAAAGAAACACGAGAGGCGAAAGCCAGCTAACTCCCCTTGTGATTGAAACAGCACATCAGTCCTGGTTCTGGCAAGACTGAGGGATTAGAAACCAAAAGCTGTCAATAAAAGTATTCCCTGCACTCTAAAATAAAAGCCTCTTATTTCAAGGACAGCTACTTGGACCTGCTCCCCAAACCACCACTGAACACACCCAGTGATGTTTCTTTCTTGCCTCCTGATTTATTTGAGTCATTATGGAAACCTCATAAAACCTCAAGAGTAAGGCATAGAGCCCAGAAACCTGAGACCAAATTAAGTGTCCTTGTTATTATGCAATTTTAGAGCAGCTGCACCCTTTGCAGTACTTTTAGATTAAGGCTATAGTCTGGAAGGTCATTTTCTGTTGAGGCTGCTAGCATCCATCTCCTAACCACGCACGTGAACCTGAAAGTACTTCTGCGCACCTTGTAAACACTGGTGGTGTAAAAGAGGACCTCTGACTGTAGTAAATAAGGGCTCTGTCGATTCTAACGCCCTGAAGTTTACAGTGCAAAATAAAAATACAAAAACTGTACAGGTAAAACATATCTGAATGAAGCTTTGTGCCTAGGATTTGCCACCATGACTACATCAAGGAGAAGAACTAGGGATCTCTAGAAAACGATCAGGAGGGAATGGCACTGAAAGGGAATGGCACTGAAAGGAAAGGAAGTCACACGTGCTCTTACTCGTACTCTCAACCTATGCATAGTCACAGGGACTGCTAGATCTTATACAGACAGTCTGGAGCCTTATCATTCCCTGTGCATTGGTTGTTGGAATCTCCATATCGGATATACTGCGACCAAATACTTTCTACAATACCTGTAAGACAATTATCAGTATAAGGAAAGTCATCTATGTTTCGCAGCTGGTGAATTTGTGGTGCTCCAGATGTTTTTGACTCCTGATTCCTAGGATTTGCCTAGGATTTGCCCCAATGGCAGGAGACTGGAGAAGAACTAGGGATCTCTAGAAAACGATCAGGAGGGAATGGCACTGAAAGGGAATGGCACTGAAAGGAAAGGAAGTCCCATGTGCTCTTACTTGTACTCTCAACCTATGCATAGTCACAGGGACTGCTAGATCTTATACAGACAGTCTGGAGCCTTATCATTCCCTGTGCATTGGTTGTTGGAATCTCCATATCGGATATACTGCGACCAAATACTTTCTACAATACCTGTAAGACAATTATCAGTATAAGGAAAGTCATCTATGTTTCGCAGCTGGTGAATTTGTGGTGCTCCAGATGTTTTTGACTCCTGATTCCCAGGAGATCCCAGCCAGCATAGCCAATGGCAGGAGACTGTGGCAGCTGCAGTCAAAAACATCTGGAGGGCCTGTGGCTCCCCATGCCTGCTGTCACTGAAACACTGGAGAAAGCACGGGGCTCTGCAAACAGCAAAGGACAGGCAGCGTTTCTTCTTGTACAGACCTTCTGGCATCCCGTAAAGAACAGGCCCATCGTCTCCTTTTCCGGAGAGCTGGTCCCAGTAGTTCTTGCAAACGTTCCCTAGCACCTCCTTGACAGCAAACACGGCCTGGCTGGATTTGATAAAACTCAGCTCTTTAGGGAAGCCTGTAGATGGAAAGATTTTCTCTTCAGCAGCTATTTTCAGTGCCTGGAACTCCTGGGCCAAAAGAGGAGAAAGAGAAATTAACCCATGATAGGACTTATTTTGCAGACTTGCCTGTGGCCACGGCAACTCATGATATGGAAACAGGCATACCAGAGGAGGGAGGAGGAGAGAGGAGCAGCAGCAGCAGCTACGTTGGCTGTCGCTGAGGGCACGCCACGTCCCTGGATCCACATTTGGAACAAAGTGGAGTCCAAAAGAGCCACCTCCCTAGAAGGTTCCTTTTTCCCAGCCTCTACAAACGAAACAGATGGGGACGTATTTCTTTGTAGAGTTCCAGAAACACGGCTAAGTACTGGGATATTCTATTCATAAAAAAACTTTACAAGATGTAGGGCTCAAAGGAAGGACAGAAAGCCTGTTGAGTCCAAACCGGCACCACCCCAACCCTATGCCTGAGCGTGCCTATGCAGAACCACTTGCCCTCATCCAGTGAGGGCCAAGTGCACCCATACACACTTCCTCTGCGACAACAGGAGTGCACAACCTGTGGCCCTAGTCTGCTTCCTATGGGGTCCCCAAAGCTGAAGGGGTGCAATCCCCTTTCCCCAATAATCCAGTGGATCTCTTGAGAAAGAAAACTCTCTCCTCTGGATTCCAAGGTCCAGTGTTTTCTTGTCAGTTGTAGCAGCAGTGGTGCTGGGGGTGGGGGGTGGGAGAGGTTTTCACTTCCACCACCTTCCAGTGACCTCTGGATCCTAGTGGCTTTAACTTCCCTCCCCCTCTGCACTGAAATGGGGAAGATGAGGGACAACGGCCTTTGTGTTTGTGTGTACGCATGTGCGTAGGGCCCCCAGCCACAACCTGGAGCCAAAAGCATTCTGCACCTCTTCTGCTATATATGGTCCTGAGCTCCACAGAGTTTCTTCGCTAACCTATTATTATAGAGAAGACCAGTTCACACAACCACTGCTGTTTAATGCCTGGGTGTTTGCCATTCCTGCCTGAGCTGCACCAGGCCCATAATAAACGGCCGGTCGATCATCCAAAGGCATGAGACGCAGAGCGCACCTGCAGGAAAGAGATGGTGTCTGTGCTGGGGACCTTTTCAAGGTTCTGCCGGCATTTGGTCAGGGTGGCACGCCTCTCCTCCTTCTGCCGCAGCTCTTCTTCGGCGCCACTCAGCATGGCTCTTTCACCATCTTCAATGAACCCAAGGACTTCCTTCTGAAAGGCTGCCAGGACCTGGGCGGTCTCAGCAAAGAGTTTGCTGACCTTCACCTTCTCTTTCTCAGCTGTACCCTAAAAACACAGAGCTACATTTAGATCCATTAAGAGTCCATCTAATGCATGATGGTCCCTCAAAACATGGACAGAACAAGAGCCTACCTTCAAAGGGAGATGGCGAACCAACCAGCCAACCAACCAACTAACCAAGCATGATTCAAGAGATCTGAATTTAAGAAGTAGTCATCAAGCTACTTTAAGCTAGACAGGATGCCAAATGCAACTTCAGAAAGCAAGTGAGATTGTAACAACATGGCCAGGCACAGGTGCAGTTTTCATCAGGGAGAAAGGTTGTTTCCAGCTACAATGGTGACAATCCCTCCCCCTCGTTAAGTCCTAAAGGAAAAGCTCCCACTGGCACCAATAGGAACTTGTTTTTGCAGGATAATTTTGGGTGGAACGGCGGGGGTTGTAGGAGGTGGGTTCAGGGATGGGTGTATGAGGTTCCCAGACTTCTGGAGGTTGCCCACTCTCACCTCAGCACTATGGCTGTATGTAGTTTAACATAAACTGCATTTAACTTTAAAGTTTAAAACTATTTGACATTGAAAATGGAGGGACGGGGAAAAGAGTCCTTGCAAAAATCTCACTTATGACAGCACAGCTATTACAGGAATACCTTTCTGCTCTTATCAGATTTCCAGAAACGAGGAAGATTCTTCCCACAAACAGAAAGGCTCCCCATGACATGCTACTTTTCTACGGGCATGAAGTCTTCTCCATTAATGGAGAATTCAGATATATGACCCTTTGCCTGCATCCTGAAATGAAGGGTCATGTATCTGAATTGTCCAAGAGAAGCACCATGTGGTTCTGTGGAATGTGTAGAGCAGCCCTCCAGAGGCTTGAATATTGATCATGTATCTGAATTGTCCAAGAGAAGCACCATGTGGTTCTGTGGAATGTGTAGAGCAGCTCTCCAGAGGCTTGAATATTGATGTAACTGCATGTATACATACAAGCATACATAAATACAATAAATAAATAAATAAAATAACTGCATGTATACATACAAGCATAGCTTTGTTCTCTGTTTATATGTCATCCCTAACTGAACCTCACAGCACTGTGGCAAAATGGAAACAGAATAAGCAGATGAACCATCTTTTGATAGCTAAATCTGAAGACAACCTCCATCCTTTCTCCTCCAGGCATTTGTGTGGAAAGAAATATAAGATTTTTATTTTTAAAAAATCCCTCTGTTTTTATTTGCCTTATTTAATATCCCACATTTATGAATGTGGAATATTGTGCTTCCAGATACATGATTCAAAATACCAGGAATCAGCCTAATATCGCTGCACAATATCATGCCCGCGTTGCCAGTAGGAAAAAAGGATGCCAGGTTTTACGTAGCAGAGGGCAGCGTGAATGTTGACAATGGGCCGTCAAAAGGTACGGAAGTGAAAAATTGGCAACCACTGCTGTAGACCATCCTGACTGCTGCCACTGGTGTTGTCAACATTCAGGCTTCCCTTTGCTATGTTAAGCTTGGCATCTGCTATATCTGTGCCAAATTTGGTGCTGATCCAAAGTCCAGTTTCAAAGTTACAATGTGTTGTTTGGGCTGCCCCCATTTTTAGAACTGCTTTATAGAATGCTGGCTTGCTCTGCTGCACAATAGGGCAGCTATAATTCAGCAGCACACAGGGCAATGCTCAAGGTTTAGCTCTCCATCCTGAGGTAAAAACCAAGTTAAGTCATCTTACTTTGATAAGGTCCACTGTCCTCCTCGTCTGTGCAATAAGGACTCCAAGTTCATCCAACTGATTCTCAACACTGTTCAGAAGTTTTGGTCTCTGGGCCTTCAGATAAAAAAAAAGAAAGGGAGAGGGAATTACAATCTTAACTTTCGTTTACAAAAAAAGTACCTTTATAGTTCAATAATCATGGTGGCAGGCAAATACGTACAGGTCATCTGTTCCCATGAAAATTAAAATTAGTTTCCGTGAAGATGCAAAGCCCGGAGGATAGGGGGTAGAACTTTACTTTGCACAGTGTCTCAACTCCTTTACACCCCCAAAATCCTTACAACCCCTTTCCAATCATTTATGTTTTAGTTATATTTACATCCAGTCTTTCTGGACCTTTTCACCTTCACAAGAACCCTCTTTGGTAGGTTACACTAAGAGACCCATGATTACACAGTGATCATCTGAATGTCAGTTTTCCATTGCTGTGCACAACTCCTACATAAACAATTGCTCTTACTGGCTCTCTTTTTTCCCCTATCTTACTGTTCTGTCTCTGAAAAGATAAAAAATTAAAAGAAACTCATTCTCTGGTGGTTGGCCCTGAACACACAGGGTTGGTTTGCATTTGGAAGTCCGATCAAGACATATTTCATATATCTGATTGTTTTTGCAAAAGTGGCGGCTCTTTGTCTACAGGACCTGTAAGGAAAGCAGTGTTTCCTACTTCCTAATGGTCCAGCATTCGAATTTTGAGTGGAAATTTTCTAAAATAATACAAGTGTAACAGTTCAAAGATTCCAAATGCCAATTCAAGCAATCTGCTCGGATGAGATAAAGAGCAGACCATGACCGGGTTACTCAGGAAAGAACAATCACTGCACTATGAGAGAGACAGAAACAGGCTTGGTTCAAATCATATCAATATTAACACCCACACCCATGCTAGAAAGCAAGGAAATTAATATGCCAGGGAGAGAACTTATCTAGGGAAGCCATAATAACCCACTGATCTTTGAAAAACAGACCACAGGAAGGGGAAAGAGAGATTAAACTATAAAGCAGCCCAGACTCTTTTAACAAGATGCCAGATCTTGGTAACAGATCCAGTTCTTTTTCCAGAGTGGACAATGGTTGCTCCTTGGTTGTATCTGCTGATCCACACAGCAGCATTTTGTTGTTGTTGTTCTAGGAATTAATTAGAGCTAAAAGCAAACAGGTGGGTTGTTTAAAAGTGGAAAACCAGAATTAAAATAAAAAAATGGGTGAGTTCATTTTGAATATTTATATATTATTTTTAAAATTTTATTTTAATGTAGCTTATGTGACTGCTTGTATATGGCACCACAACAGCTCAGATATGAGCATTTTACCCTACATTTGCTGCCAGCATATCCTTTAATGTGTTTTTACATGCTTTTCTATTTCTTAATTTGCTTTTATGGTTATTTTAATAATTTTTAGTTTAATAATTTTAAATAGCTTTTTATACAGTTTTAATTCTTCTGTTGTTAAATGATTTTTGAGCACCTTAAGTCCCACTGCACGTTGGAAAACCAGCATAAAAGTTCAATAAGTTAATACATCTTGACAATCCTTGAAAACAAATAACTACGGCATACACTAAACCTCTTTCAGATTTTCCTAGTGTAGAAATCGTTGACACACAACCCAAAGCAACCTATTTTTACCACACAGGAAAGCCTCTGACTCCTTCCTTCCACTAGAGTGATAATGTGCTATTTGTGGGGGGGAAATAATTAACAGACATGATCCCCTCCATTCATCCGCTACTGACTCTTCTGGGTCTTGAAGAAAACTAGGGAGAATTCATGGCTGCTTGGCAGCTGGCAAGGAGCCAGCGCCTTGTGTACTAAGGATGATGGCCTCATGCTAAGGAGAGGGAAGAGATGGTTCTCCAAGGGTGGCTGGACTGAACTCCGATCAAGCCCTGGCCCGCATAACCAGTAGCAAGGGAAGGACGGGAACTGGAGTTTAACAACACTTAAAATACCAATCCAAACATCTGGTCCAGTAGAGTCTATCTTGGTCAGCGGCAGCCATCCAAAGCCTCAGGACAGGACTCTTCCCTGTCCAAGTTCCTGTAGTTGGAGTCGCTGGTGTATTAAACCCAAAACCTTTTATCTGCAAAACTGTTATCTGTGCCCCAGTAAGTCTGTGCAATATTATTTCCCTCTAAATATTAACATGACAGACATTAAGTTTCCCTTTCCAATCTTGTTCCACCGTTTGTCAAACTTTCTACAATGTGAGTCAATCCCTGCTCCTTCCTGCGTCCCAGTCTTGCTGTGCTCCCTCCGATGTGTGGCAGACTTTACTGAAAATTTCTACAGCTCTCTCTTTTGCAGCTCCCCTTTTTTTCTGCTTTTGCAGCAGGTATGGATGAAATGCAGCTCTGGGACAGCATGTAGTCCCACAGCCTGCTCCCGCAGCCTCTAGTCTAGACCTTCCCCACCCTCTTTTTTTTTTTCCAAGCACAAAATGTGAATCACAGTTACTGAACAACTCTAAGGACCGGTAAGTCACCGCTACAGACCGCCCCACAAAGTTCAACACCAGAAAATATCAATTTTCAGGCACTTCTGATTTTATCCCCCTCCTCCCCATTTTGGTGGTCTGTGCAGCCCCCCCTCCAAGAGGATGCCAAAGGTTGAACCCTGGTTCTGAGATGTGCCAAAGTTGTTTAGTAACTGTTCCCTGCTCTTGCAAATGATACCAGCCTTTATCCTTGCACATGGATTCTGCCTCATCCCTGGTGTGCTGGAACAGAGCACCAAATCAGAACTTCACCAGTTCCAATGAACCTAACCCAGTTCTCTTTGAACAGATCTTTGGTGTGATTATGCTCTAGCACAGAGAAGTACTTTAATTGGTTTACTGAAGCGTGTTAACACCGGCTGACATTTCATCTGGCTTGTTAATGCTCTCTCCTTCCCAAGCATTTGACATAACGGATTAAAAGCACACACTGTAACACCAACATTGTTTGTACTGGCATTCTGGTTCACTAGGCATCTTATTACACCTTGCTACTGCACAAAAAACAGAAGCCCAACAGGAACCTGCCTGCCTGCCTGCATGATGGGGTCGAAGTCTCTTGAGATTCCCTGTCTGTGGACTATCACGGAAGAATTCCTTTCACTCCATTTATATGAAGTGGTTAGACCACCCCTTTGCAAGCCTTTCCAAGTTGCACAATCCCTCTAAAGAGAAGGCAAAAGGCAATCCATCTTTTTTGGATACCATGGTTTCCCAACTCAGCCGGTAAGTGTCGGATGAGCTAAACCGAAACTGACGGCTCAATTAAAAATTAGTGAGTGAAAATGTGGGAGGTGAGTCAGCGCCATCTGGGAAGGGGAGTGATGGAAAAAAAGTTGCCTCCTCTTCAATGGAACACAAAGGACTAAGGGAGCAAGGAGCGGAACCTGGGAAAGGAGCCAAACGAAATAAAGGAGCCGGTTTGAGCCACTGTGGGAAAGAGCTACAAGGGGAGGGAAACCAGCCCCTGATGCAAACAAGCTGAAGCCAAGGCTGTCAAGATCAGGAACTGGTTGGGCCCTGTTAACACCAGATGGAATTAATCACACTCTTTTCCCCCCCGCAACACACGCATACACACACTTTTGTTTTTGTCTGCTTTTCAAATCCAAAGGCAGCAGATTGTTTACATGTGTGTATTTTGGCAGCCCAACCTGAATCCCCCCAAGGGAAGATCAGCTAAATGTTTGTCTTTGCACCAGAAACATCTTGTTGATAGCTTTTGGAACATCAATCCCCTCTTCTCCATTTTTCGTCTTGGAGTTGGATAAACACACAACAGCACCAGAAGTATGTACATGCATGCACACGCCCCTAGGAAAGCAGGAATCCAAACCAATATGACCTTAATTATCAATATTCTGAACTACAGAAATGTGCAATTTTAAAGAGAAAGTGTTGTTCCCTTAGAAGTTGCTCACAACCCTTATTTCTCTTCCTCTGAGCTTCTTTTCGATTCCTTAAGTCTAAGCATTCAGCCCTGGCACCAGCCAACTCCTCAGATCCCTTCTGGCTGGGCTTTGTGACTCACACAGCCTTCATCTGCTTCTCCTGGTAACTCTTTGCAATGTCCAGTCTCCATGTCAACAAGTCTAGCTGAATAATAAGCACACACTCATTGCTGATGGACAGGCACAAGAATTACTTTAGAACATTCAGCTTTCAAAGACATAGTACAACTTATGAGCATGAGAACTGCCTCCACTGAAAAATTACTGTCTGCGGAAAGATACAGACATAAAAGCTGGAATTCCAGCGATCTTTTTACCAAGGAGCAGCTATGTCTTAGATCAGCGGTCTCCAACCTTTTTGGGACCACAGACCGTTTGGGAGGGGTGCAGGCTCCATGTGCGACCCGGTTGGGGGGCGGGGGCATGCTTGCGGAGGGGCGTGTCACACTTCCCTACGATCATCGCAAAGTGAAAATAACCCATAGGGACCATCGCAAAGCGATCGCTTTTGCGATGGCAAAAAGTCGATCACAAAGCGATTTCTTCGCTAAGCGGAGCGACTGCTATGCGAGGCATCACTGTATAGGCCAAGACACTGACCAGGTAAGAGATCAAAATTAATTTTGGTTTATTATTTTCTTTTTAACTGCCTTCCCTCCTTATAGAGGCCAAGACACCGACCAGGTAAGAGATCAAAACTGGTTTTGGCTTATTTTTCCAGTTTTACTGCCTTCTCTCCTGTTCTGTTTTTTGTGTTTTGGTGTGTTTTTCCCCAGTCCCATCGCGTTTGAGCTGGCTGTGTGTATGTGGAGGGTGTTTTTGTGTTTTTTTCCCTCAGCCCCATGGTGTTCTGCTGGGACTGTGTGTGTGTGTGTGTGTGGTTGTGTTTTTCCCCCAGCCCCATTGCATTCTGCTGGGGCTGGCTGTGTGTGGGAAGGTTGTGATTTTTCCCCCAGCCCCATTGCATTCCGCTGGGACTGGCTGTGTGCGTGTGGGTTTTTTGAGTGCTTTTTCCCAGCCCCATAGCATTCCCCTGGGGCTGGCTGTGTTTTTTGTTTGTTTGTTTTGGTGTGTTTGTTTTTTGGCCCCAGCATATTCCTATGG